GAAAATAATTCAAAATGAACGCAAAATTTTTATTGGAATCCATTTCCAATTTTGGCAAATCAGTGTAGAGGCTGTGATTGCAAAGGAAGCCACTTCGACCATTTACGGTAAAATGGTGCAAATGACGCGTATTCAGGAACTGAGATACAATTAATTAATTCAAAAGTAGAGATCAAAGAACCATCCTTCAAAAAACGTACCGAAGGTGTTAAAATGATCACGATCGAAATAAAAACCAGGTGCCAAATTCTTGACAGAACAGCTTCCTATAGCCCAAGATAATTAAAAAAAAGTCTCAAATCGTTTATGCCAAAATTTTAACGAAATAAAAATAACACATGCTTCTAAAGCAAAATGCATTTCCTAAAGAAAAGTGTTGCTATAAGTTTGTTCTTCTATACCTTTGCAGTTCCTTTTAATGTATTTTATGGTGGTTTTCAACTATTCAAAGGTCTGTTGCACGAGAAGAAAACCGGCATGAGAGGGAGGAGTTGTTGTCTTAAGGGAAGACCTTAGTTCACCTATTGCATCAACTTTTCTTCTTCTTTAATGAACTTTATATTCCTTTGTAGGTCGATAAAGTTTGCCCAAATCAAACAAACATACGTATACTCGTAGTTTTGGACTAATTGAAGCCTAATTTGTAACCCCAACATTTGAATTTGTACTGGCTTAGTTCCGCCGGAAAACCGAAAGGGGGTGCTAACTTGAAGCCAAGCTAGCATCCCCATTTTTCCCGATTAAAGTGACTTCAAAAACTATGAATTAAAGACTAATTTGTACCTAAATTAGGTTTTCATTATTTAAACAATGGTTAATTAAAAAAGGGCAATGTATCCACAGACAGTTTTTTGTAAGCGAATTATAGTGTTAAGTAGTTTCTGCGCCAGTGCACCTGTTGAGAGGGAATATTAAGACTGAAAGAATGCACTCGAGGTCTTGTGCAATTTTGTATTGCTGCATGTGTGTCGGTCTGTCCGTGTGCACGATAACTTTGTTTAAAAATGAGGTACAGGTGTTCTCAGGTCTACGTTATTAGCAGTTGTCAGATAGGTGACATTAAAACAGCTGACGGCAGTGTTGCCCCGACTTTCAAACACATGCCATACTCATGTAGACACGTGCCGTTGCCAGGGGCGTACACTGAGAAAAAGACTTGGTGGTCCTAAAAAAATTGGTTTGTTTGGAAGTCATACTGTTGTTTTAAATAAATGTTTGTGGTTTCAAACAAATATTATTGATGATACTTTAATCGATTTTATTACGGCAATAAGAAAGTTTTTTTAAAGCAATTTTTTTTATAGTAATAATACATGTAGCAAAATACTATTTTAGAATTACTTTGTTATAAGTAAACAATTGATTATTTGTATTAAAACATTATGTGGTTTTAGATAATAACAGCTTTATTAATAAAAATGAAGTTGTTGAAATTGAAATTAATAATGAAAGTATCT